CGCAAAAGTTCGCACGTTTTCTACAAAGCGAATTATATGAATTCGCCAGTTTTTTGACAGCAAAACAAGCGAAAAGATAATGTGCAGAGTTGCATGCAAGGCGAATTGCCTTGATTGCATGCCATTCAGGGCGACATCTACAGGAAAGGCAACAAACTAGAGCGGGGTAATTGATTAAAAGCTTGATTCTGTTTTAACCACTGTGCCTCAAGCACTATGAGTAAATTCGAATTAACGCAGGAGAAAAAAATTGCTATTGGGATATTCACAACGGTGTCGTACAGTTATATGTCGTAAATTTATACGGCCAAAAATATATTAAGGTGATTCATCAAACCTTATAAATGCATTTATGTATAAACTTATAATTGTGTAAACCTTATAAATTAACTGTCAAATTTTGTATGAAAACTCGTTTACATATTTCGGATAAATTTCTCCAGCGATTTCACTGAATAAACTTGATAAACTGAAGCCAATGCAACTCTTTCGCAACTCTGGATCGGCAATAATCGGGATCCGCATAAAAATTTTGCACGAAAATTCACCAAAAATGATATGATCCTGATAGAGATTTGGTTCAATTTATTATCCGTTCTGTTTGTTTTGATTCACTTATAATTTCACAGCAGTTTGGTAGCAGTGACAAATGAATTCATACACAAACAGATATCATGCCATTGTTTCTTTTAACTTGCTTCAAATAAATCGCCTTTATGTTAAATATTTATTTAAATTAATATTATATCCTCTAAATAAAAATTTTTCCCATTTAGTGAGGTCATTTCTAAAATTTCTTAATCCTCGTGCTAGTAGTATAAAATTACCAATACTGAGCTGTATAACCAATGAAAATACGACTATTGTCGCAAGTGTAAACGAAATCCGAGTATGGGGCATTCATGCAACCGAGTGCTTAAATTTTGATAAAGTTATCGGTTTACATAAATACCACATTTATTTATTTGCCCACATGAGAAAACGGGACAGAGTTAAAACAGAAATATAAGAGACGTTAAGACACATTTAGTTGAAAATGGAGACGTGGGGTTAAGGGCAGGTGAAAAATCTGATGGAAACTTTGTGTACATGTGATGTTTAACCTCCTTCTACAATATACGTTTTGGCATGATAAAAAAAATAGGAAGGTGGGTTGTGCTACACACAATGGACGAGGTAAGAATGAAACGTAACAAGCCATATAAGATAAATAATAAACAAGTTTGTGCAATTATTTACCAAGGTGCGTTCAAAAAGGAATGCGGATAAGCAATTTATCCCTTTATCACTTTAGATGAAGACCCCTAATAAAATTCATTGCCATGGCATACCCTGGATCTTTCAATTTTGTTTCTATTAAATCCACAGCGCAATAGGACTGCAGAAGTAGACAACTTACGATGTCGATGCAATTTTTTAACATTGCATTCATAAATCCGTTTCTCTTTGCTCATTGCGTTATTAAAAGC